GGGGGTCCTCCCCGCCCCCACCCAGCCCTCCACGTGCCTGCTGTCCTGGAGTGCGCCAGAGGGCGGGAGCCTGGGTTAAAGAGGATTTCGCTCCAGAAGGAACCGGGGCTCACGGCCTGGGAACGGGGGCAGTCACAGGGTACCCCCATCACAGCGCACGTGAACGGTAAACCCACGACTTCCTCTGTAGGGGCTCTGCGGCAGATGAACCTGTCACTGTGCACCTGTCCAGGTGTGCCGGCCGCCGTCTGGGCAGAAGCAGGAGCAGCAGGCCGGGTGTGAAACACACCTGTCTGCGGAGTGTTTTAAAAACAAGAGGACACACAGGCTGGCGCCGCGGCTCACTAGGCTAATCCTCTGCCTGCGGCGCCGGCACACCGGGTTCTAGTCCCGGTCGGGGCGCCAGATTCTGTCCCGGTTGCCCCTCTTCCAGGCCATCCCTCTGCTGTGGCCCGGGAGTGCAGTGGAGGATGGCCCAAGTGCTTGGGCCCTGCACCCCATGGGAGACCAGGAGAAGCACCTGGCTCCTGCCTTCGGATCAGCACAGCACACCAGCCACAGTGGCCATTGGGGGGGTGAACCAACGGAAAAGGAAGACCTTTCTTTCTGTCTTTCTCTCTCACTGTCCACTCTGCCTGTCAAAAAATAAATAAATAAATACAAGAGGACACTCAGGGCATAAAGCCAAGCCAGGACCTGGGCTCATACAATCTCCCTCTGCGCAGCACTAATTAACAATGGGAAACAGACGCCGGTTAACCTGCTCACGTCGGAGCCCCAGCCGCCCCAGGGCACCCGCTGAAGGGGGCTGTCCCGAGCACTTGGGTGCTGAGCAGCCTTGGGGGCCCTGCTCACGAGAGGCCAGCAGCAAGGTCCCCGGCCCCACCCGAAGCTCTCCGGACACAACCGACGACTCTGCCCCGGTGAAGACCACCCAGGGGCCGGCTCCTGTCCTCACGGAGAGAGGCATCAAAGCCACGCTCCCAACTCAGAGAGGGAAAAACCTGACCCTCTGCTGTGTCCAATGTGTCCAACACTTCCCCGTTCTCACACAAACTGAGTATGGGAGGTGAGTATTCGCCACTTCTACAGCTGCCCTCAGGTCTCAGCGTGAGCGAAAGGATGGCTGTCCTGCTGGGTGCCAGGGCGACACCCCCGAAACATGGAAGGAGCAGAGGGCACCCGCGGGACGTCATGCACACGCGTAGATGGGCCAACAATGACTCCAAAACACAGCACGGAGCAGAGGGCACCTGCGGGATGTCATGCACACGCGTGGATGGGCCAACAATGACCCCAAAACACAGCATGGAGCAGAGGGCACCTGCGGGACGTCATGCACACGCGTGGCTGGGCATAAAGCATTCAGGCGGCAGGGAAACGGGTCACGAATAACACACTACAAAGACAGTCACCCTCCCACACGCACACACGATCTGCACACCCACTATATAATTTAGGGTTACTTTCAGTGACTTCGAAGAACACACGCTGCTTTGTAGCAGGAGAAGGGGCTGCGTGGAAAATGGAGTGGAAAGACACGTGTGTTTCCATACAAGAGCACTTCGAACCCGTGCACACGAGTGTCCTTCAGAAAGTTCACGGATCACGCCTATCACGAAAAGCACGCGTGGACTTCACGGCAGTTTCGCACCCAAAGCGACCTCACCTTCAACTCCGTTTCCCCACAGCTCTTAAAGGCCCCTTGTTCCACCCGGCGTCAGCACCGTTCTCCACGGGTTTCCTTCTAACCCCCGACTGTTTCACCAACGCCCAACTGCTGGGTGTTTGAGCCAAGGTCCGACTGTGGGCACTGGGCCGTGTGGGTCATTCAACCTTTTTCACAACAGAGCGGTTTCTCCAAGAACCAACGCGCAGGCACCGGCCTTTCTCTGATCAACTCCAGAGGCGCTGCCGTGAAACACACGCCGGGGATCAGGACCGCTGTGCGAGGGGACACGCGTGCAGTTAACAGAATCCGTACGCTGCTTCTGATTTCAAGTGTCCTGAGACCCACGACCTCCTACAGTCTGGCTAGGTTTCCGGGCAAACAGACAGGAAGGCCACCAAGGGGCTAGGACGCACGCGACACTGTCCCCCTGTCTACACGCGTGCAAAGGAGAGCCCCCCACCAAGCATAACCCAGCCCCACGGGGTCCGGCCAGAGCCGCGCGCCCCGTCACAGAGAGAGAGAGAGCAAACGCTTGGGAGAGCAGCATTCTTTGGCTAAAAATATCCACAAAACACCGCTGTGCCAGGAGCCACACTGGGTGTCAGAGATGCACAGGGCAAGGCCCAGCCCTGCTCCAGAGCCGCCAGCCTGGAGAGACGGGGACGCACCCAGAGCCGCAGCAGGGGAGAGGGTCAGAGCAGGACGAGGCAGCCCCACCGCGCAACACCCCTGCAGAAGCCCTGGAGGTCCAGCGGGCAGAGGGCCGTGGAGAGCCAGCCCTGCCCCTGCACCAGGGCTGGACGGGAGGTGAGGGGGTGGGCGGGAGACCAGCACCCCAGAGAGGCCGGACCCCAGAAGGACGGGTGCCACTGTGAGGCTCAGGGCGGGCAGGCAGCAGCGGCAGGAGCTTCCCTGGGGGAAGGCGGTGTGGGCAGGGGTGAGACCGGCCCGGGGGATGCAGAGGGGACAGCAGGACTCGGTGCCTGCGTACAAAGGCGGTGGAGAGCAGATGGCTAAGAGGACCCCAGCCAACAGCGCAGGCATCTGGCAAGCCTGATGGAGGGACCCGCAGAGGCTGTAGCGGGGGGAGCGACCACGGAGCAGCAGCTGGAGGTGCCAGCCCTGCGGGGGCCACACCAACTTGCAGAGTGTGCTGGCATCTCCACTTCCTCTGCTCTCTGGGATTCAACTCTCTCACCTGCAGAGGAGGGAGCGGGTCTGTGCAGCCCCCGGGGCCTTCCTGCTGTCCAACCCTGCAGGAGCCAGGGAGCAGCAGGGGGACCCGCCGGGCAAGAGCGCCTTCCGGGAAGAGGAGGCGGGTCCTGCCCGGCGCTGGCATCCCCCCTGCCATCGCCCAGGACTGAGTGCCGCTCCCCCGCTCAGACACAGGCCGGGCCGCACATCTGGCCGCCTGCTGCCTCCTCTCCACCCCCACCCACTCCTGGGTGATAACAGGGGACAGGAAAAGTAGTTCAAACACTTCTTAAAGAGAACTCAGCCTCGAGGGCACTGCCTGTTTTGAGCTGAATGTTTCCAACCTGCAGGCTCGGAGCTGCTCCTGGCTCATGGTCAGCCCAAGGCAATCAGGACCGCTTAATGACAAACAGTGGCGTCTCCACTGAGTGCCAGGCCCGCCTCCAGCCGGATACCCCTGCCCTAAGGGGGCACTGTGCCCTGTGCAGGAGCTGAGCCCAACAGAGCGCAGGAGGGCTGGCAGCCGGCTGCAGTAGGCTGGGCCCAGCTGGGGCCCCACAGGCGCCCCTGAAGTTGGGGGGGAGAGGGGTGAGGCCGCGGCAAACACCCAGCCTCAAGTGGCTGAGCCCAGGGCAGACCTCAGCAGGCAGCCCCTCCCCCTGCCTCCACGGGGCCTGGCTCCTGCCCCTGCATGGAAAACACTGCCCGCCTGCCGGGGAGGGTGAGCTGGGCCCCAGCCTGCGACAGCTGATCAAACACTGGAGCACCCCTGCACTTGCAAGTGGCGGGGTTGGCCCTGCAGCGACCCCCCCCCCCCACACACACACCCAGAGCTCCGGGCCAAGGCACGCGGGGCTCATTTCCTGCAAAAACAGGATTTCCCAGGCACTCAGAGGGCCGTCGGCCTGCATTCTCTGGGTCCCAGCCACCTGGCCGCTCCAGGGACCCGGGTCATCGGGCCCAAGTCCCCGGACACTTTCTCTGCAAACTTGAGCAACCTCCAAGGGCACCCCAGGTTGTTCCTGGGGCAGCCTGGTCAGGCAGGGGAACCATTAGCCCTCTCCCCTCAACACCAGCCCCACACCCACCCACCTCGCAACAGAAAGCCACGGGGGCCACCGAGGACCACCAGGCAACCGGCTCCAACCCCAGGCTCAAAGCGCCCCCCAACGGGCTCTTGGGGACCTACCCCGGCCCTTGCATTAGAAACTGTAGGGAAAGAAATGCGGCAGGTGGGGAGGGGGAGGGGCAGCCGATGCAGGAACGGAACAGGGAGCGCAGGACCAGGTCAGACCGACCTGGTGCAGACTGGGATAAGCCCTCGTGCCTCTGGGAAATGGGTGCAAGGCTAAACCTCGCGGCCAGCGTCGGCGCGGCGTTCACAGATGGAACCCAGGACTTGCGCTCCGCGTGGTTAAAGAAAAGCGAAAAGACGCCCGACGACGCGCCCGGGAGACCCAGGCAGCCCCGGAGGCGTCCACCGGGAGACCCTGCCAGCCCCGGAGGCGTCCACAGGGAGACCCTGCCAGCCCCGGAGGCGTCCACCGGGAGACCCTGCCAGCCCCGGAGGCGTCCACCGGGAGACCCTGCCAGCCCCGGGACCCGGCGGGGCGGCGCGCGACGGGAGGGGAGCGCGCGGGACCCACCTGAGAACGCGCAGGAGCAGGCAGGCGACGAGCAGCGCCGAGAGGGCGCACGCCACGATCACGGCCGCCTTCAGGGCGGGCAGGTCGCGGAGCAGCGTGGACACGCGGGTCATCAGGGCGTCGCCGGTGCCGTTGAAGCCGCCGGCGCGGGTGTCGTTGCCCGGCCGCGGGGCGGGCGGCGGCGCAGACTCGGCCGTGCGGGCGCCGGCGGCGGGCGCGGCCAGCAGCGCGAGCAGCAGCAGCGGCAGCAGCGGCAGCAGCGGCGCGGGGCGCATGGTGCGGGCGAGCGCGCGTGCGGCGGCTGAGCCGTGCGCGCCGGCGCCGAGGCTGCGCGATGCTGGGCAGGAAGCGGCGGCTCCCGGAAGAGCCCGCGCCGTCGCCGCCGCCACCGACACGTCGCGCGGAGCCATTCGGCCGGCGGCGGCCCCGGGGGGCGGGGAGAGCCCGACGCGGCTCGCGGCCCCTCTGTGCCCGCTCATCCTCCGGGACAGGTGCCCCCCTGCCCTCGTCCGCGGCGCGGCGGGAGCGCCCAGCAGGATGCTGGTGCCCGCGGCTCCCCTGGTGCCCGCTTGCTCTCGGGGTCTCCCACCCGGACCTTCATTTTTCCCCTCGCCAGTTGCGCCCTGGTCTCCGGCTGTGTGGGTTTGACCCCCCCTTCCCGGGCCAAAATTCAGACGCGGGGCATCACTGCTGTGGGAGTGGCGAGGGCACCTCCGGGGCCAGGACTTTTTTTTTTTTTTTTATTGGGGGTGTGGGAGCCAGCCATTGCTGCAGGAATTACCCGGAAACATGGTAGCTGCAGACGGCACGCGCGGGGCTCTGCCCGGGGCTGTCCAAGGCTGCGGTCAAGTGTCCCGCACGCTGAATGCGGGAAGGGTCTGCTTCAGGCTCACCACACACCTGCTGGCCAGGTCCGGCCTCTTGCAGACCCGAGCCTCGGTCCCTGGGCGCTGTTGGCCACAGGCCACGCTCAGTCCCTCACCACGTGGGCCGTCTCACAGAGCAGCTCGCCCCACCCTGGTGCACAGGCCACGTGGGCAGTAGCGAGAGTCGGCCCAGCGCCAGGAGAGCCCCGTCCTGGAGACCCGAGCGTGCCCTGAGGAGGAAGTCCCAGGCCCGGTCCTGCCGTAGATTCCTGCTGATGTACACGTCCGCCGGCAGCAGGTGACGCCTGAGCCGGTGGGTCCCGGTCACCTCCGGGGGAGGCCTGGGTTGAGGTCCTCTCCCCAGCGCCAGCTGTTGTCGGTGTTTGGGTAGAGAACCAACAGAGAGGAGCTCCCTGTGTTTCTACCACAGCACCACCCACACACACACATCAGCGTCCCAAATAAAACACAACTAAAAGGTCGCATTCTCAGGGTCAGAGATGACAGACGGGAGAGAATTCCCTGGAGAGCCGCTCTCCGTGTCAGCACTTCGGGCACCGCAGCCTCCTGCCTTCCTGAGCTGGGATCCACGCAGTCTGGATAAGAGGTCTGCCCACGGAGTGACCTAACCGCTGAATGCCAGTTTGAACACGTAATCTAGGGCGCCAGGGCCGGCACAGCGGGCCAAGCCGCCACCTCAGACACTGGAATCCCATATGGGTGCCATCCCGGCTGCTCCACCTCCAACCCAGCTCCGTGCTAATGCACCTGGGAAAGCTGCAAAAGATGACGCAATCCTGGGGCCCTACCACTCGTGTTAGAGACCCAGATAAAACTCCTGGCTTCAGGCTTTGGCCTGGCCCGGCTGCAGCCGTTGTGGCCGTTTGGGGTGGGAACCAACAGGTGGAAGATCTCTCTTCCCCCCTCTATGTAACTCCGCCCTTCAAATAAATAAATAAATCTAAAAAAATAAATAAGGACAATGTCAGCCACCTCGGCAAGGTCGTGGGTTTGATCGCTTAACACCGGCTGCACACCAGGCTGTGGGAGGCGTTGGTCCTCCTGACCATCGCTTGCTTAGCGCTTGCCCTACACCTCAGTGCCTTCAGCATTCTGACTCACATAACCATGAACGACGGCACTGGTAGCCTGGAACACTGGTCACGGGCGGCAGAAGCCCACTGTGGTTGCTTTCAGGAGGAGGAAGTCCCGGAGTCAACCAGAAGCCACAGCCGGCGTTGGTCACGTGTGGCCTGGCACCTCTGGGGTCCCTGGGACCCCAGGGCATCTTTGGAGCAAGCGCCAGCCCCGTAATGATCCCAAGACACGGCTCACCCCGACCACCACGTGGACATCCACACTCGTGGTGCCGATGCACAGAGAAAATCCGAAGGTGCCTGAGCTGGGACCCAGGCAGAGCCCAGTCCCGGTGATGGACGTCTTCACACCTGAGCGCTGCTTATAAAGAAGCAAAAGGGCCTGGCGCTGTGGCGTAGCGGGTGAGGCCGCCGCCTGCAGTGCCAGCATCCCATGTGGGTGCCGGTTCGGTCCTGGCTGCTCCACTTCCAATCCAGCTCTCTGCTAGGGCCTGGGAAAGCAGTAAAAGATGGCCCAGGTGCTTGGGCCCCTGAACCCACGTGGAAGACCCTGGGGAAGCTCCTGGCTTCGGATGGGCACAGCTCCGACCATTGTGGCCATTTAGGGAGTGAGCCAGCGGGTGGAAGACTTTCTCTCTCTCTCAACTCTGCCTTTCAAATAATAAATAAATCTTATAAAAAGCAGAAGAGCCAGTTCTACTTTAGACTGCACTTGACTGAGGAAAACATGAAATGATTAAATCTCGCGTGGAGGACAGACTGTGTGTCCATGGCCAGTGCAGCCAAAGCGCCCTGAGCCTGAGGACCGGCTCTAGGGGAGCCCACGTGCAGCTCCGAGAGTGGCCAGCTGAGCAGCCACTTCCTCCTGGAGCACTTTTAACCCCAAGAGTGGCGCTTGGCAGGCATCAGGAGCGGCTGAGGCTTCAAGGATCCCAACCGGCAGCGTTGGAGCCAGAGATGAAATGCGAGCCTTCGAGCAAAAATCGAAGTTTTTAGAAAACGTGGCCGTTCAGGTGCTTTCTGCCCTGAGTTTGACAGCTGCCAATCTTTAGAACTGTTCTGATGCCTGGGGGTGAGTTTAGTGTTTTTTACACACTGTAACAAGACACACTAAGATGGGTAGGATCTGGCTAAGTCTGCCAGCAAGTGTCTCCAAGCGCACAGTGCGCAGTTGCAGAGAGCATCCCAGGGACTGGCCGGGAAGTAACAAAGAACAAGACGTTGTGCTACAGTTGCGTGTTTCACAATGAGGCTAGTCAGGGGCAGGCGTTGTGACACAGCAGGTTCAAACGGCCGCTGGGAACAACTGCGTCCCATATCTGAGAGCCTGTTTGAGTCCTAGCTCCTCCATTTCTGATCCAGCTTCCACTAACGTGCACCCTGAGAGGCAGCAGGTGACCGCTCAAGTACTCAGGTCCCTGGAGACCCAGATGGAGTTCCTGGCTCCTGGCCCTGGCTTGGCTAAGGCACTGAAGTCTTGAAGCAGTGGATGGAAGATCTCTGTCTGTCCCTCCATCCCTTTCAATAGGTAAGTTAAATTTTAAATTTTTGAAGAACTCTTCATTGCACATCTTGGTGTAGCATCAGAGGAGTGCCCACCCCCTACAGCACGTACTGGGGCAAGGCTGGATTTGCTTCCTTCTTCAACCAAAACAACCACGTGCGACAGACGGACTGCAAAGGCAGGTCCAAGAATCCGCCTCTTATCCAGTAAGCCAGTATTAAAGACATTTGAAAAAAAAAAAAACTGGAACAAAGCCATAATTCTCTCTGATGTTTTTGTTTTGGAAATTATTTTTCATAAAGATGTCATTCATGCTAATGGATTTGTTTTGCATGAATTAATATTCTGAGGACTTCTCCATCTTAATTTCTCACACGGTGAATATCACCTGACAAAACCTCTCTGGGGTCCTCGGTGTTTCCTAAGAGTGGAAAGGAGTCCTGATCCAGAAAGTTGTTTGAGAAATGCTGAGCTCAGAGAGCCAAGCTTTGGGGAAACCAATTAGGAGTGGTCCTGCTGTAGAGACAGAACACTCACCCTGAGCTGACTTAAAGGCATCTGTTCTGTTGTGCAAAGAGGTGCCTGGCTGGGCAGCTCCGGGGCTGGCTGGCTCTGCACTCAGTAGCTGCCTAGGGGAGCGCTCAGGGCTGGCTGGCTCAGCAGGTCATGGGGAGCACTCAGCAGGTCATGGGGAGCACTCAGCAGGTGCACAGGTGAGCACTCAGCAGGTCACGGGGAGCACTCAGCAGGTCACGGGGAGCACTCAGCAGGTGCACAGGTGAGCACTCAGCAGGTCACGGGGAGCACTCAGCAGGTCACGGGGAGCACTCAGCAGGTGCACAGGTGAGCACTCAGCAGGTCACGGGGAGCACTCAGCAGGTGCACAGGTGAGCACTCAGCAGGTGCAGGGGGAGCACTCAGCAGGTCACAGGGAGCACTCAGCAGGTCACGGGGAGCACTCAGCAGGTGCACAGGTGAGCACTCAGCAGGTCACGGGGAGCACTCAGCAGGTCACAGGGAGCACTCAGCAGGTCACGGGGAGCACTCAGCAGGTGCATGGAGTGAACACCCTGGGTCTTCCCATCACTCTGCTCTGCTGCCCACAGCATTGGCGTCAACCTTAGAAGGGCAGCCTCTTGGCCAGCAGGACGGCTTGACTTCTGCTCATACCTGAGGGGTCTTACGAAAGCTCACGGGAACCGTGTGTGCTGGAAAGCTCTGCGTGGATCCCCACTTTGTTTTTGCATCAAGATAAGCACATTCCATCCATTTTGTTCCATTTTGGCACAAACTCTGTGACGTGCCCTTGTAGAGGTGCTGAGAGAGAAAGTGCTCTCCGCGTGTGGGATCCACACGGTGGTGGGTCTCCTCTCTGCAGGATTGGTCCCCCGAGTGATGCCGTGCCCTGCCTTGGCCTTGGAGCTGGGGCCAGAGGAGAGTGAGGAGGAGGAAGGCATGGGTGCAGCACGGCTACGGCTCCCTTCCGACAGGCAGGGGACAGGGAGCTGGGGCTGGCGGGCCAGAGCCACAATCAGCCCTCAGGAAGAATCCGGTCAAGACACAGCACTGCCCCCAGGGGTTCCGGCCTCCACCACCCTCTGCCTCCTCTGCCACTGGACTGGGGGTGCTGCCCCCACCACCGCCCAGTGACTTGGAACCGCCTTGCTCCACGGTGGGCTGACCTAAGCCCCGTGTCATCGACCTGCCTGTGCCAGGAGGGCGGTGGGCCGATCCCACCCTCTTGGTCTCCACGTGGGAGACGGGGTCCTCCTGCACCAAGGCTACACCATTGCAAGGACCCTCAGAATGAGAAGCGCACAGGGCTGTGGGGGCAGTAAACGGCAGACGGAGATTCTGTTTTTGGGTGTTTTTTTTTTTTTTTTAGTTAATATTTATTTATTTGAGAGGCAGAGAGAGAGAGAGAGAGCGAGGTCGTCCATCTGCTGGTTCACTCCCCAAATGGCTGCAGTGGCCGGAGTTGTGCCGATCCAAAGCCAGGAGCCAGGAGCTTCTTCTGGGTCTCCCACGCGGATGCAGGGACCCAAGCACTTGGGATATCTTCCACCGTTTCTTAGGCCATAGCAGAGAGCTGGATCAGAATTGGAGCAGCCTGGACTCGAACCGATGCCCATATGGGATGCCGGCACTGCAGGCGGCGGCTTTACCTGCTATGCTACAGGGCTGGCCCCAGATGGAGAGTCTTCAGAAATTATCCAGATCAATCCAAGACAGGTAGGAAGATAGACATTGATGGATGATAGAGGAATAGAGGATAGAATTAGACATAGGACAGATAGGACAGATGACAGAAATGGTGGAGACAGAGAGATGATAGGGAAATGGAGATATAATTAGAGATATGTAGGACAGACGGGATTAATAAATAGAAGATACAGGTGGATGACAGATACTGATGGCAGAGACGTGAGATAAATGAGAGAAGCAGAGACGGCTAGGTGATGGGGAGAGAGAAATACACTCATTTACACACATTTTACACACGCGTGCACGGACTACACAAGCACGGGAAATACAAGTGATGCAACCAGTAGACCATTCACTAACTGTGTGACCCCCACACCTAAATTTCCTCAAAAGTAAAATCAGAGGTCCCAGCAGGCGAGAGTCTCTCAGGGACGCAAGGAGTTTAATTCTTGCAGCACACTCAGTGCAGTATCTAAGAAACGGTTACCAGTTCGGCAAATGTTAATTATTAATCCGATATTAGCACGGTGGAGCCGGAGCGCCGAGGTGGCAGGAATTAGCTGCCTGTACCCAGGGAGCAGCGTCCTGCCTGGGACACTTGTGGGAGGTGAGAGCTGACCTGGTCGTCCCAGGTCACGTGGTCTGGCTCACCTTCCAGCTCGGAGCAGGTGCAGCCACGGGACGCCTGGTTCCACATCCGTCAGCGCGAGCACGGGCCTCAGGCAGGAAGACGCTCTACATTCTTTGGGACTAAAGTTGGCTTACAGTGAAGGACCCCAGAGAAAAAAGATGGAAAGGAAATACAGCGACGCGTTAACAGCGGTTGCCCCAGCTGTGCATCCCAGGGTGCTGGTGTTTTCCTCAACAGAATTTTCTAGTCTCCATAATAAATACATATTAATTTTGTAATTTTTACAGGCATGATATTTTTTAAACATTATTTTGTTGCTTAAAACTAATAGTGGCCGGCGCCGCGGCTCACTAGGCTAATCCTCCGCCTTGCGGCACCAGCACCCCGGGTTCTAGTCCCGGTCGGGGCGCCGGATTCTGTCCCGGTTGCCCCTCTTCCAGGCCAGCTCTCTGCTGTGGCCCGGGAAGGCAGTGGAGGATGGCCCAAGTGCTTGGGCCCTGCACCCCATGGTAGACCAGGAGAAGCACCTGGCTCCTGCCATCGGATCAGCACGGTGCACCGGCCGCAGCGCGCTGGCCGCGGCGGCCATTGGAGGGTGAACCACCGGCAAAGGAAGACCTTTCTCTCTGTCTCTCTCTCTCACTGTCCACTCTGCCTGTCAAAAAAAAGAAGAAAAAAAAAACTAATAGTGACAGACTCACCTTTTTTCTAAGGTTTTATTTATTTTTATTTGCGAGGCAGAGTTACAGAGAGAGAGAAACAGAGAGAAAGGTCTTCCATCCACCGGTTCATTCCCCAGATGGCCACAACCACCATGGCCGGAGCTGGGCCGATCTGAAGCCAGGAGCTTCTTCCTGGTCTCCCACGTGGGTGCAGGGGCCCAAGGACTTGGGCCATCTTCCACTGTTTCCCAGGCCATAGCAGAGAGCTGCCTTTCATATCGGGGTGCCTGGGGTCAAGTCCTGCCTCTGCTTCTGATCCCGCTCCCTGCTAATGGGAGGCAGAGGCGAGGGCTCAAGTCCTCAGGTCCCTGCCACCCACATGGGAGACTCAGATGGAGTTCCTGGCTCCGGGCTTCAGATCGGCCCAGCTCCGGCCATGGTGGTTGTGGCCGTCTGGATACTGCAGGCTCTCTTCTCCCTCCCACCCTCCCTCTCTGCCCCCACCCAACTCTGCCTTTCAAAGGAATAAGAACTGGGGGGAGAGGGGCAGCCTGAGCCCATCAGCAGTTCTCAGGTGGGCACCTGTGCTTGGCTGTGGGGGAAAGGGGTGGCCCGGTGCAGGCTCCCCTGGGGGACTTGGGGAGTGGCCAACAGCCCAGAACCACAAGGTAGGAAGCGTGGCGTGGGGAGCGCAGAGCGGGCCTGGGCGGGGTGGGGGCTTCCTCCCCTGGGCAGCAGGTGCTTCCCATGCTGGGCGCCACAGGAAGGGAACAGACGGGTGACTTGTGGCCTCTGGCCTCGAGGGAGGCCACTGCGATTTGCAGCCCACACGGTCCAAAAGGCATCCAGCCCGAGAGGCAGGATCCAGACGCCAGGCTCCATCCCTGGGCGGTGACCCCCGCCCACGTGTGTGCCACCCAGCAGGAGTCCTCAGCTGCCCGGGCCCCAGGCAGGCGGGAAGTACCCTCAGGCTGCGGCCCCCTGGGAGGAGAGGAAGAGGGGCCCAGGCAAGCCGAGCCTCTGAGGATGCAGGACGGTCTGCGTTCAAACCAGCCAGGAAGAGCCGGGGGACAGCTGGGGACAGCCCTCAGGTGCCAGTGGTCCCAGCCCCCCACGGGCACACAGAGTGACAGCTGCCACTCACACACCACCTGGGGCCGGACCTCTGACACGGGGCCAAGGGGGAAGTGGTGGCCCCTGCTGCAGACTCTGAGCCTGAAAGAGGGTGAAGCATCTCCAGACCGCACGTGAAGTGTGCACAGGGAAGGGAAGGAGGGGGAGAAGAGGGCTGAGTGACAGGCGGGGGGGGGGGCGGCTTCCTGCCCCCCCAAGTCTGGGAGAACCTGCTGCCTCTCAGAGATCAGCCCCTGCCCAGGATGCACAGCTGCAAGGGGGAGGGGCACTTTGGAAGGTGAGGAGGAGGTGGGGGGGGCTGGGGCAGGAGAGTGAGGGTGGGTGGGGTGGGGGTGAGGGGAAGGGCCAGCCCCTCCCCCGGCCCACCAGCTGTAGCCCGTTTTGCCTCCTCTGAAATGAGAGCATTATCATATGATATTCATGCCTGTCTTCATAAATAATTCATCTTTTCTGCACAAAAGTAAAATAGCCTGAAGCTAGAATATTTGAAAGAAGCGTCAATGCCTCATTCATAAAATAATAATGTACCGCCTCGCAGAGAGCTGGAGAACCACGTCCCCAAGCTAAAACGTATCATCCAGCCTGGAAAAGGCAGGTCCGCTTCCCCCCGCGGGCTCCCCCTCAGCAGCACCTGCACCTGCGCGTGCAAGTAACGGGAGACCCTTGGGAAATCCAAGCCCCCAGGGCACAGATGCCTGCTGATACCAACCCAGAGATAAACAAAGGCACATGGAGCTGTGGCCGCTACGGCAGAGGGCAGCCAGACACTGAGTGGAGCGATCACTGACCGTGGGAACTGGAAACCACAGCTGGAGGGGGCCCGCAGTATCTCCCCAACACGCAGCCCTGGTTCTCTCTCAGAGGGAAGGAAGACCTCTGTTACCTGTGATGAGTCTTTGAAATGCTGAGATGTTTCTGGAAACATCTTCAGAAAGAAGCTCACAGTGCTGTTGGACTGAGGAGGCCCCAGGCCAAGACTCCCACGGCTACATCAGAACCTTCTGGGCAAACCAGGAGCAGGGGTCACAGGCCTTGGGGGCCTGGGGAAGGGCTGGGAGCAAAGGGAGCCGTGGGGCCGGTGCCGTGGTGCAGCAGGCTAAGCTGCCGTCCGCAGCGCCAGCATGCCATATGGGTGCCGGTTCAAGTCCTGGTTGCTCCACTTCTGATCCAGCTCCCTGCTGATGTGCCTGGGAAAGCAGCAGAAGATGGCCAAGTGCTTGGGCCCCTGCACCCATGTGGGAGACCCAGATGGCTTCAGCCTGGCCCAGCCCAGGCCGTGTGGCCATTTTGGGAGTGAACCAGCATACGGAAGTTCTCTCTCTCTCTTTCTCCCTCCTTCCCTCCCTCCCTCCCTCCCTTCCTCCTTCCCTCCCTCCCTCCCTCCTTCTGTCCCTCCCTCCCTACCTCCCCCTGTTAGGCAGGAAGTTAGGTATGAGCTTATGTCCATCTACGTCCAGCATCTGCATCTGCATCTCAAAGTCATCCTGACAATGTTCCAGGGGCAGCCCTGTATTCGATCCTGCCCTGCCCCCTTCTACCTGATAACCTGCCAGGTGGGGGTCCCGCCCCTTCTGCCTGACAAATCTTCCACAATCTCCCAGATGCAGCCCAGTATCTGCATTTCAAACACCCTGCTCCGGATCCCCATTCTCCAGGGGGTCCTGCTCACCCTTCCTCTGAACCAGGATGGCACCAGCGAGACTTCCTCCTGTCTGATACCTTCAAGGAAAAACTCAGATAGGAGCTTCTTAGTATTTGCAGCCATAAAATCCTTTGTTTCAGGAGGAGATGTGTGAAGACAGAGACCCATCTCCTTAACTCCCCCGCTCAACCAGGCGGCGCTCAGCCCTCTGCCTCTCTGCTGAGCCACTGCCCGCTCAGCCCTCTGCCTCTCTGCTGAGCCGCCCGCCTGGTCTGGCCAGGTGTACTCTCTGCACTCTCTCTCAGGTCCTGTCTGGAGAAGTGCCCATCCGTTCTTGCAGATGTCCCTGCCCTAATAAACTTTGCTACTTCTGCTTTCCACTACTCTGTCTCACGCCTGAATTCTTTCTTGTGCGAAGACAAGAACCCTGCTGTTTCTCCGGTAACACCCTGCTGTTTCTCCGGTAACACCTCCTCCTCCTCCTCTTCCTCCTCCTCCTCTCTTTCAAATAAATATACAAATATTTTTTTAAAAACATGGAGCCACGCCCTGCATGCCTCAGGCATACTGGTCCAGCGAGTATGTCACCCCCCCCCAGAAAACAGGTCTTAATGTCCTGCCAACAGCAGGTGGAGGAAGAGGAGCGACTTCAGAAAGCTCACGCAAAACGGAATTAAACGATGATTTCAGCGCAAGAAAACGGAAATCCAGGCAGAGCTGTTTCACATTCCACATTTTCTGTGACATTCTTAAAGACCCTCACGCACTGGGGACTCAGCAGGGTGCGCCATCCCGAGGGGCGCGGTGGGGCAGCCCGGGAGCCAAGGGCGCCCACCTGAGTGGCTCCTGTTGCCCGCTGTGCCCCTCAGGCCTCTTCCCGGGAGGCGGCAGAGCAGAGCCGAGGGCGGGGAGGGCCATTCACCAGCCCCGGGCTGCCTGGACAGTCAGAACTGACCGTGGGGCCGGACCCGGCCTGAGACACGCACCAGCTGTCGTCCCGGCTCAGGAATGTCCCTCCAGCCGTCCCTGCTGGCTGCTGCCACAGGCGGCAAAGGCCAGGCTCCGGCCTCACCGGAGCAAGGATGTGTGCTTTCACTCCCAGGCAGGGCTCGGGCCTTGGAGGGGAGCGGACGGGAAAGACCAGCTTTGAGACGACCCCAGGAGGAGCCGTGCTTGTCCCATTCCCCACAGCGCGGTCCCAAGTCTCCCGGCTCTGTCCCTGCGTCCTGGGCCCACTCCCAGCCTTCCTGTCTGTCCCACAAGCGACTTTGTCTTCCACCTCCCCGGAGTGCCGCTCCACCTCCGGCCCCTCCCTCCGTGAGCCCCCCACTCTCAGCCCAGCCCCTGCTGCTGGGTGCTACCCCCCACTCTCAGCCCAGCCCCTGCTGCTGGGTGCTATGAAGCGCTGGGTCGCGGCTCCGATCCTGGCCCTCACCCTGAGCCTGGGCGCGTTAGCGCTTGGGTTGATGCATCCGCTTGCTCGTGGCTGGATGCTGCAGGCACTGTCTGGGGTCGCTGAGCCGCTTCCTCTCTGTGAAGCGAGATAACAAGACCCATGTGTGGAACGTGGCCCACAGGACGCCAGGAATGCAACAGGTTCCCAATACACGCGCACTGGGTTTCTGTTCATTACAGTCAGCATACAGTTCCTTACGGTCAGCTCCCTTCCCCCAGCTAATGATTAACACAGGCACCAAGGAGGTTTCCCCAGGGCAGTGGGGAAGCCTGCGTTACACACTCAGACCCCGGGGGGACTTGTTCAAACACCTGCAGCCAGCCCCTGGCCCCTGAATCCACATCTCCCTGGCCAGGCCACCCATCAGCCCCAATCCAAGCCGGCTAGGCTGGGACCTCGGCCTGCAGGGCGGGGCTGGCTGCTCCCGCCTCCTCACTGCAGGCGGTTATCTGGGCCAGCTGCACCTGCTTCCTTCCCTCTGTGCCCTTCAGGACAAGAACTGGAGAACTCCCAGCTGGCCTGAGGGAGCAGGTGGCCTCCATGCAGCCACTCCTGGCCTGGCCCCAAGCCCCTCCCAGCCTTCAGACCAGCCCCTGGCTGCTCCCGGTGGGGTCTTCACAGCTGGAGTTCTCAGAGGATTTTGGAAAAATGAGAGGGAGGCCACTTGGCCCGTGTCTTCCTTCAGGGGACAGATGCGCTCCCTCCCACCAGTGCCGTGAACCCCGCCTGGGGCAGTGTTTGGTGCTGGCAGTTTCAATTCACCGTGAATCTGAAACACGCTAGGGCGATCGCAGGCCTGCCGGAGGATCACGGCCGTGACTCGTGGGGGCTTGGACGCAGGTGTAGGGGGCCTAGAAGGCCCCCGGGGGAAGTGAGCGCTCCGCTGGCACGAGGCAGTAGAAGCAAAAGAGACTCCGAGGTGCAGCAGGTGCACCGTGGTCCCATATGGATGAAAGGTCCTCAGACGAGCCGACCGCCAGCTGGCTTCACTCCCACGCCGAGGGCACGGCCGCCCCGCTCAGCCCAGACCTCCCTGCAGGGCTGTGGACCTGGCACCCCCCGCCCTCCCTCCGAGGCATCGCTGGGCTGGCCCCGAGCTTCGCCTGCTCAGTGTGCACAGGTCGGCACTTATGACCTCACGGCCCTAAGCTGCCTCCACCTCCGCTTCCAGCACTGCCGTGGTCTCAACAGGCCTGGCGCAGACTGGAGCGGCAGCTGATGGACTGCGTGAATGCCGACGGTGACGGCACACGGACGGGGCCCTGTGAGTGGCCAGGGCGTGTCCTCGCAGAGAGAGCACTTCCTGTCTCCCTGCTTCTGCACACGGCCCTGCAGACGAAAGGGGACACTGATCTTGGACCGCGAGCCTCGGCAGCTGTAACGGAAATCAACCGCTTCCCTACAAGTAGCTCCTCTTGGGATTTTAGTTAAAGTAGCCGAAGGCTAAGCAGTGCCCCCAGCACCGCCACGGCCCCCACTTGGAGAACGGCGCCATCCAGGGCCCAGGTTGACCTGGGACCCCCCCTCCCTGCGTCCTGTCTTCCACACTCAGCCCGCAGGGGGTGCTGGCGTCTTTGCTCCCCGAGACCCCCCGGTCGGCCCCTGCCTCTGCCCCCCAGGCTGCCCTCTCTCTCCCTGGATTGCAGCCACGGCCTCCACACCGGCCAGCTCAGGTCTGCTCTGTTCTCGCCAACAAACGTGGTTGTGTCACCACCACTGGAAATGCCTCCCTCTCGGCCCCATTTAAAGCCAGCACTGTGGCGTAGCAGCTAAATCCACCGCCTGCAGTGCCAGCATCTCATAGGAGCACCAGTTCAAGTCCCAGCTGCTCCACTTCTGATCCAGCGCTCTGCTGTGGCCTGGGAAAACAGAAGATGGCCCAAGTGCTTGGGCCCCTGCACCCACACGGGAGACCAGAAGAAGCACCTGGCAGCTGGCCCCTGGCTTTGGATGGGCCCAGCTCTAGCCATTGCAGTCATTGGGGGGTGACCAGTGGATGGAAGACCTCTCTCTCTCCCTCTCTCTCTTTTTCCCTCTCCCTCTCCCTCCCATCTCTGTCTCTGCCTCTCTGTAACTGCCTTTCAAATAAATAAATAAACCTTAAAATAAGTAATCAAGCCCTCCCAGGACTTCTCCTTCCTCTCAGGACAGAAACAAACCTACAGCAACCCCAGCAAGCCCAGGGCGGGGCTCGGCCTCGCTCTGCGGTGTTGGCTCCACTGCTCCACGTCCTGTGCTTGGGCCACGAGGCTGCTTCCCAGCCACGGCGTGGCCCTGGGCGTGGGCCTCTGGCACAGAGCAAGGAGCCCTGGCACAGGGGAACCGAGGCGGTGGGGCAGAGGAGTCACCCCCACGACAGTTCCGGTTGAAGCAGGTGCAGACTGAGAGCCGCCTACCACAGCGCCTGGTGGACGTGCAAAGGAAACCTCCGCGTGGAGACAGCACACACAGCCCAGGCTCTGAGGAGGCCCCGCGGCTCGGGAGCACGGGCCCATGGGGAGAGAGGGGCAGTGGCACTGGGGGGCACTGGTGCTGCACCCCTGCAGACCCAGGCCCAGGACCACGGGGCACGGGCAGCCTGCACTCCACTGCACGCAAACCGTGCCTGTCCCAGCTGTGGAAAGCAAACGAATCCGTCGGCTTTCTTCCCGACAGCTCCCGGCGCACCACACGCCCTTACCAGGCGTTCACTTCCCTCCGTCCCTTCCACTGGGCCCCTTCTCCCGGCCCCGCTGGAGGACAAGGGAGGGCTGCCGAGTGAGTTCCCTGTCGGGCCCGCTGGCTCTGAGCGAGGACGGCCCCACCAAGGCTTGGTCTCCCGTGTGCTGGCGTTGAAAGGTGGTGGACCTGGGAGAGGCGGGGCGGGGCTGGGCGCTGAGGCGCAGTGGGGGTTAAGCCGCCTGGGGGTCCACATCCCCTGTCTGCATCCTGCCTCTGCTGGCCATGCAGCTTCCTGACGAAGCACACCCTGGAAGGCAGCACGCGATGGCCCAAGTACTGGGGCTCTGCCACCTCTGTGGGAGACCCAGAGGGCGTTCCCGGCTCCTGGCTTCTGCCTGACTCAGCCCCAGCTATTGTGAGCATTTGGGGAGTGAACCAGAGGGTGGGAGATACATGATGGAGATAGATAAATATATGCACACACACACACACACACACACACCTCCCCCTCTCTCATCACTCGAATAAGTAGATAAGCAAATCTTTGCAGAAGAAAGAGGCAGGGCC